AAAAAATCTCCAAACTGCTCTGCTCTTCAGAAAAGCAAACCACTCTTACTAAAATGCACCACAGCTGCCAAAATATGCCTTAGTTACTAGATATTGTTACTATAAATACATAAACCTAAACAGACTTCCTCAACAAAACCAGCATGAGTACTAGGTGGACCCACCTTTGTATCAGCAGGTGGCTGTGCAGGCGCAGGCGCAGCTGCAGGAGGAGGTTTCTTCTTTTTCTCCTCGATGACTTTGATGTCCTCCTGAGGTTCAGCCACTGTCTGTCCATTCGCCTGGGCCTTCTGCTGCGGGAACATGACGGTTACCAACAACCACAAACTCCACATTTCCTTCCTCTATCAACTGACAGTACCTAAAATCTCCCCTTAGGCCACGAAAACTGTCACTACGGCGGATCCTTTAGAGTGTAGACTCACAAAAGGTGGTGTTCAGCCAAAACGAAACTCGTGTTGAGTTAAGCGGTCTGCTGGACTGCGCTACGTGGCTCTCCTGTAGTCTTCGAGTCTGTATTACTACTATACTCGTAATCAAATAACAACGCCAGATTTGTTCATTTTAATCCTAAAGTTGACGATAAGCGATATAGAATTAAATAGTTTTGATAGGTAACGTTAAAGGCTTTCTATATGAATAGCTGATACTTGAGAGGTTTTGACAGGTTAGCACGTTAGCAGCTAACGTTACTCTTGCAAATCTCTATCAAACTCAAGTCAGTTGAATATGATTTATAGAAAGACAATGTAACTCAAAACCTAGTAAGCTGCTTACCTAGATCTCATTTTTGGGTATCACATAACGTTAAGTGTCCAAAAAGGCTGTGTGGGAAGACAGCTGACTTAGTTTTGAATCACAGCCATTAACACTAGCAGATCACAATCGCAGGCCGCTTACCTTCTCGGCTGCTTTCTTCTTGTTCTTCTTTTTCGGTTCGCTCTGCTCGGTCTTCACAGACTTCGGTGGCAGGGCGGCCTTAACCGGGGTCTCTGCAGCGGCGGTGCTGGGGCTCAC